GCACAGAGCTGCACTGCTCTAGCTTCTCAATCCTTTTCCTACAGTACTGAAATTAATCAGAGAGTACAATTTTGGCATTTTTGGCTAGCAGCCAGATTTTCATTACTAGCATTTAATCATCAATTTTTGTCTGACTATTTTTTGCTACTTATGAGTAAGCTGGATTTTTCCCCTGGGTTGTAAGTGCCAGACAGCAACATAACTCAAGAGCAAAATGAATAGGGCAATAGCTATTGCCAAGTTATTATTTTACCACAATAAAATCCCTTATTTGTGTTTTAATTTTGGTATAGTTCAGCTTATTTAACACTTCAGAATATTTACATCCTTTTCTGTAAGTAATGATTTTGAAATGAATTTTTTTTATCTCTCCAGATTGTTTTGGAAACTTATTCTCGTTATAACTCTCTAGTGTGGAAACAGTCACTAAGACAAAAAGGTAGTCACATGGTTGAATTCCAAAGAAATGAAAAGAAACACAGTTGAAAGTATTTGTAACTTGGTCAGGCCATGCCCCATGTTATTCCTTGCTTGAACATTACTTCAGGGACCCTTGGGACACTTTGTGAATTCTGATTCCTGGGCAGAAACTTTTCAAATCCACCTGGGGAGTAAAGACCTGTTATGACCTAGCATTCTCCTAAGCAAAGATCACCTTTCAAGGTGATCTACAGTATATCATATCGTATATGGTATTTGGGCAGAAATGAAAGAAGGCTACTGTGAAGCTCCTGCCAGACTCTAAACAGTGGGAGAACTGAAGCTGACGAGAGAAACGTTATTTAAGGAAGCATTATTTAAGGACTTTTATTGCTACTCTAAAAACTGTCATGTACACCACAAAAAGGAAACTGTGGACTTAGAAAATGTGGAGTAGGCTGAATTACATTGATAATTATGTTTACAACTGATAGTAAGAGCAGGTTTAATTTCCCCTAATCTTAGCTGTCTGATAACTAAGCAGCTACTCTAAATTACTCATTCAGTTTTCCTCTGCAGTCATTACCAACACCAGGGCATTCAGAGTACGGTGTCTGAGATAGATTATGCAGGTTACCCTTTGAAGCTGCTTCTCTCTTCACCCATTATAGAGGGAGTTAGACACCTAACTTAAACTACTGTTTAATTTTTAAATGGTTAAAATTTGACAGGATGTATTACCCTCTGATGTCCCTAACACATTATTAACTGAATTCTACTATCCTTGCTTTGTTGCCACAAAGAAGCTTAGGAATAGGCAGATACCTTCTACCAACTGTCAGTTCAACAAGATTACATATATATAGAAAAATAATTTTACAGGTTTTTTACATCTTGTACAAACATACCAAGTCTAGAATACTAAAATACCATTTTTCTTCAATTTATATTATTATTCTGAGGGCATTTTTTTTCATTAATTTGTTATGAATCTTTTACTTGATTGTCCAGGAGGAGGTGTGCAGGCCTTTACATAAGACAAGAGACCACACAGGAGAGAACCATTTATTTGCATTAATGTAGACTAGTAGATATAAATCCTTTTAATTTGGTACTTTAATCAGAATTTTACTAAGATTATTTTTATTTTTTCCTACTCAACAAAATAGCGTTTTATGCCATTCATTGGAAGTCATCTCTTATCTCAACTACTTTTTACTCAAGAGCTGTAGCAGATTTGATTCAAATTCTATAGCATTTTATGGATATATTATATTTTATTGTCAGTATTAAATCCATTAAGTCATATCTAGGTTAAATCTCCAAACAAGTTACAGAAGAGGAAAATATATAATATACATGTTGAATATTCTTCCACAATTTGATATTTCTGCAGTATGTAAATATTGTTTAAGAAAAGAGATGCTGGAATGATTTCTGTTTTTTCTTAAACTTTGTGTAAGGTTATAACTGTAAGCTTTTTTCTAAGAATGAAAGAGAAGATATAAAATATGTTTTTCCCAATACTTCTTGTTTTTCAAAACATGATTTTTGTAATCACTTGGTGACACATTAAATTTATGCGCTCAGTCTTCTTCCCCACAATCAAGTAGTGGGCTTTCACTGCATTTCCATTGCATTCATTGAGCTATTCAGGCAAAAATTAATTCAATATCACTGTAGTAGTAGATCAGTGAAGCATAAATAAGGGCCGATCAGGAATGTATAGCAGAATCTGTTTATTTAATTACAAGTTGTTAATCATCTAAAGGAACTATGAGTTTTCCTTTCTGAATAAATTGTGCAGCAGTGGAAGCATATGTGAATATGGACTAGTTGTCAGTCATTACTTTAACCCTTAATCTATCTTCCAGCTTCAACATATCAGTATGTGTCAACCACCTCAAATGAAAGGCTGCAACCACTAAGGCAATTTCAGGCAAGCTTCTAATTGGTTGATTACAGAAAATCAAATTTCATTCAGTGATTCTGAAATGTGCTACAAGTATATTGCTGAAGTAATCTTTAAATATCTTATTAGCCAAAGATATTTTTTTAAGCCGTAACATAATTTCATGTCAGCTTTATTTCCTCCAGTGAATGTATTAGATCTAAGAAGAGGATAGACAACAGAAGCAATGAAAGGTAGCAGCAGAAATGAATTACCAATAGATTATTTATGAAGCAAATTATTTACACTGATAAGCTACAATAAAAATGACAGGCACTGACCCAAAGTATAATAGGATTAGCTTTTTTTGGATCATAAATGTCTACCTTAAAAATCCATAAGAACACTAAAACTATTTTTATAATGATTATTGCTTTTAAATATGTTATTAGCAAAAGCAAATTACTACACTTGAACTTAGAACCTTTGACTTGTAAAACACAGACCTGAACCTCCTAAGTAAAATTATGATTAACTGGAAAAATGAGTGTTAAAAAATAAATCCTATATTTTAGTGAGTGTACATAGTAAAACTCCCACCAACAATCCACATACATAAATGCTACCCACTTCATTTGTATGTTCTCTCACTACTTTTTAGTAAATTTAAACCTCATTAAGACTTCTTATAAGAGCAAACTTACTTGTTTGCATAGGAAGCTAATACCAGTTCAGATAAGCAGCTTTCAAAAGATCAGGAATGCAAACATGACTGAGTGACAATGCAGCCAATTTATTAACAAGGATCAGAATATCTCATTTACCAAAAAACAAACTTCAGAGTTGCAAGTAAGGTAAACTCAAGATATATGACTCTCTAATACTGCCACTCTGACAATGCTTTTGAAGCATTACTTGATAAGAGTAGATCAAGAAGACCATATGTTGAAGCCTATATTTTCTTTCCTAGCACTGACTTAGAAGGAAAAATACCTCTTTTATATTACATATTCTATAACAGAACAGATGAACTTGGCTGCTCTGTTCTTGAATTTAGATTTTGGCAACATGCTCACAAAAGACCTATTTCTGAGTGGTTTAAGTTCTTATACATAGGGAGATCAAATAAGACACCGCTGTTCCAGAGAATGTGACACTGTAAATGAGTGGGAGCATCCAAGGAACAGGAATGTTCAGAGCTGTTGTTTGCTGAATGCATGCATGGGAGGGGGAAGAACAGGTTTCAGACCTGCTTTTTAACTTGCACCAATATGTGACTTAGCATATCACAAATACCACTGCACCAAGATTTGGTCAAACATAGATTCATACGGCAGCCCCTCTCAGAGAGCTCACTTTCCTGGGGGTACCTGTTAGTTCAGTTTCCTCAACGCTTTCCATTGCAGCCCAGCACCAGCACTCTAGGGCTGCTGGGTCTGTGGCCACAGATGTCAAATTAGAGTCCAAGCTGTTGTTTTTTTCTCTATGCCTCAATTAGGAAACTAAAACAACACTGTGAAAAAAGCAGTTTCTTCAAACCTTTACAATATTGGTAAAGACACAACATTCATATTAATGTTAATATTACACTGTACTTCTTTATATAAAAACATTCACCATGATCTTGCATTAATACTAGCTCTGTTAATAGATTTACTGCAAGCTCTTGGTTTTGATCTTTGCCACATGAACTATATACATGAACTAGAAGAAGGTTTAGGAATTTCTTCCTTACTATGAATTCCTTTCCTCAAAAGGTGCTAGTACTTGGGTGCATAGCAATGAGAAAAGGCTATAGGAACTTTATGTTTCCCATTCATATCTGCATATACAGTAAATGTGGTTCTTTTCAGTTGAGAATGAGGTATTTAAGCAAATACCTCATTACATAGAGACAAGAAATGCCTTTCACATTTACTGTGAAATGCAGAGCCAGAGGAATAGTTGTAACTTCTGGTTGCTGGGCTCTTTGCTCCATAGGAAGACCTTGTGTCTTATGCATTCTTTTTTTCTCCTCCATACCTTCCTTGTCCCACACACCTGCAAAATCAGGATAATGATCTTATGTTATCCCTATATAAGTGTTTGTTGTCAATTAGTATTTTGTAAAGTACTTGGAGATGTTTAGATCCAAAATGTGTGGCATTAATTTGCAGGAAAATTACAAGCAGAAACGTACACCACTATAACTCTCATAATTGATGTCTTCATAAAGAATTCAAAGTATTTTCTATCTTGCATCATTTACTTAAAGCTCCTACATTTTAATTTCATTTTGAGAAAGTAAGTATTCCAGTTAGTTCACCACCAAGACATGTATCATTTTAATTCTATATGCCTCTCATAGGAAACCTAGGCTATTCATCTTTGTAATAACTACACCAAAAAATCCTCTTGAACTTTCATTTTCTCTTTTGAGCTGTTCTGCTTCCAAGTTGACCCTCAAAGCCAAGTCCCTTCTTCACTTGTTACATTTACAGATGTTCTTAGTGTGATACATTGCAATAAACCAATTTTTTGGTGTTTGCATATATAGAGAATTCCAATAGGATATTCTTATTGATGAGTATAATGAATTATATGAACAATGTAGGTAAATAAAATCAGATTATCTGAAATTTATATTAGGAATGGATAAACCTTCAGGTAGCTTGAAAGTTTACTTGTAACTGCTCTGTTTTTCACACAGGTGATAGATGTGAAGTAAATATAGATGAATGTACATCTACTCCTTGCCTCAACAATGGAAGTTGCATTGATGATATCAATTCCTACAAGTGTCACTGTAGGAGAGGTTTTGTTGGAACAAAGTGCGAGATAAATGTTAATGAATGCTTGCCAGACCCTTGTCTTCATGGAAGGTGGCTATTTTTATTTAACTATTATTATCTGCAAGATAGTGTACTAACTAGTAACATTTAAGATTTAATGACATAGGAAGGTTGATTAATATAGTTTTAGTTATGTTCTTCCATAAAGCAAGAGTATATGCACAAAGTTGACAGATGTTGCCTGTTTAAGCTGATGTAATATAGTGTTATTATCTCAGTTCCTCTTTCATTCATTTTAGTGTTCATTAGCATAAAGCAGTTTTCAGTAAATGTGGATTAATTAGACTTTAATATACTTAAAAGCAAGTCTTTAGCTACTACAGACCAACAGGTTGAAATAGGAAGGTGTCTTTTAATGCGAGAATCAGTATCCTTATAAAACTGCTCAGTATCTATAATATACACATCTCAAAACCATTCTAAATGCTAATTAAAAAATTCTGTGGATTTCAGTAGATTACATCAGACCACTATTTTGAAATGCACTGAATGATACAAGTAATGCTAAATGCAGAAGTACACAGCATCATCTGAATATTGCTATTTTGTATTTCAGATGTATCGATCTCATTGATGGATATCAATGCTCCTGTGAATCAGGTTGGACCAGCTCAAGATGTGAGATAAATATTGATGTATGTCTTCAAGTTTTATTTTAATTATAGGGGAAAGAGTAATGTGCCACTTCAAACTCATTTTTTGTCTAAGTAACTACTGGATGCTTCGGTTTGTTGAAAATGCATGACAGGAATTCAGTTGTTTGAAATCCATTGTGAAAAGCTCATGATTATTTAGTAGCATGAAACTGCATTAGAAAGAGTATTAAGGAAATATCTGAAGATCTTTAAAGGTGAACTGTGAGTGAAAAATCTGAAAATACACAGAAAACTAAGCCAACGTCCCCTGAAAAATCATTTATCCTTCAGTTTAGCATGGATGATATAACTACCTCGTTTACACTGCAAGCTTCATTTGCTATAGCTTAACTGCATATTTGAATACTATACCTCAGGATGCAGTATTCTGCTCTGAAAATAGGCATGACTCATGTTTAAAGTTTCAAGTTTCAGGTAACTGTGGAATTCTGTGGGATAAAACTATGGCATAAAAAATACACTGCCCACTCCCTCCTCTTAAGTTCAAGAACATTTTTGCATTACCATGGGGAATGGCCATGGATAGGAAGGGATGTTGGATATTTGAGTCTATGTCATAAAGATTCCCATGGTCAGCAAACCAGCTTCTAGAAGATAACTGTACCTGGCACAGCAATGAACTCCTCTTAGAAAATTGGCTACGTTTGCGGGAGAGCATGGAATTGGTTTAGGCTTTTTAGACTATTTCAAGTTTTGTGCCAAACATATTTCAAGAGAGACCTTTCAGATCTTGAGATTTGGTCCTTTTAAATGAGTTTGGTCTCATGAGAAGGCGTGGCTTGAAATCTGCCTCCTTTTTGGGTTATTTGACTTCTAGTATTGTGCTTCTCAGTTGTCAGGAACAAGTACCAAAATGTTATGTGACTTTTATTTTAAC